GCGGATTTCCTTTGTTATAGGAATGCACTTCAAATCTGCACTTGGGTTTTCAGAATTATTATTTTTTATATTTTAAAATTGAGAGCATAAGGTTTCGGGAGGTTAACTTCAGTGGCTGGACAGATGGTTCAGCAGCTAAAAGCTGGTCTTCCAGGAGTTCTAGGTTGAATTCACAGCACCCACATAGCAGCTCACAACTGCCTGTAACTCCAGTTCCAGAGAATCTGGTGTATCCTACTGGCCTCCGTGGGTACCAGGCATGGAAGTGGGATGCAGGCAAAACGCCAGAATACATATAGCAAAATTTAAAAGTCACACAGTTTTCTGTGACTTCAGATTGCTATTACCCAAAAGAAAGCCAATGCTGAAAACAGGCTGACAGAAGGTGTTGCTGTTTAAATTGAAGGCGTGTGAGGTGTGAACACTAAAGCAAAGATGGCCTGGGGAGTTTCATGGATGGTGCAAACAGCAATTTGTATACTTGTTCTGCAAAGTCTATTATCCACGTTTAACTCTTGACTTCCACCCACTGAATAAAATAGTCCTTCACGGTAGCACCTGGCTAGGGGATTAGTTTTGGACAATTCCATAGTAAAAATGTCTTTCTTCAGTGCAAAGCTCAACGGGACCAAGTGGCAGCATCTCTTGCCACAGGTCTTTAGAAACAGATCCCACCTCAACCTTTGAGTCCACCTTTCCGTTGCCCTGAGAGCCTACCCTTGAACAGGACCTAAGAACACTTTCCTTCCTCCTGGCATACTGGCAGGCTTCAGAAACGCCTCTGAGCAAATTGAAATTGGCTTGCAAAGGGGCAGGGATGTGGCTTATCTGGGGACAGAAAACTCAAGATGCTGTTGAAATTCTGAAACAGCCAAGGCTAACCTCCTGGGCTGAGGAGCACACATACCTGTGAGATGATAAATCGTGTTTGATTAAAATGTCTCGTTCTGGTAGGGCATGGTGGGACTCACCTTTAATATCAGACTTGGAAGCAAAGACTGTCTCAACATCCCTTCCCAACCAACCAACCAACCAACCAACCAACCAACCAACCAACCAACCAACAAAAACCCACTATAGTCAAGGGCTAACAATAAATTTGAGGTGTGTTCAGTAGTCTTTTCGTCTTTTCTTCCTTTCTGCTCCACAGTGGTAGAAATTTAGGGGCACTGAAGATTTTGGTCGCAAAGCTATACCAAGTGTCTGTCAGAGCAGATTATCTAAAGCCCTTCTAACCACAGGTCAGGACGACAATGTGGTACAAGTGCAGACTGAATGCCTTCATTTCTGACAGCAAACATGGCACATGTCAACCCTCCAGAGGACTGAAGAACTCTCAAAGAGCTGGTCCCTCTTCAGCTCAGCACAAAACTGGATTGCAACCCTGTAAGAGCTGTTCAAGATTACTAAAACGAAAGAAAAGTAGTTCTGCCCCAGCTTGCACACCACCAACACATCTGTAAGGCCTACATTTGCAGGGTATTCGAAGAATCTCTTGAGAAAGGCTTTATGGTCAGCCCTTGCAAAGGCTTAGAAGTTGACTTCGCAGAGTCATAAAGTCAATTAAGTTAGTCAACAGGAAAAACTAGATTTTAGATTGTACCCAGTGATCTTTAAGCTGTCTTTTTATTTACCTATCTTGAGTCACTAGTGCTATGATTAAAGGTATGTGCCATCATGTCTAACTATTTCTTTCTTTTTTTTTTTTTTTTTTTTTTG